ACCAAATTATCCTACAGTAAACTACTGTAATCCTCTAAGCTTAACTATATTTTTTTCTCAACCCTGGGAACACACTTAAGTCCATAAGCAGTGACCTATAGCCAGATATCTTGCAGGCATCCAGTAAGGAAGTGTTAATTTACCTCTGGTTTTATGACAAAACCCAACACGAGGTAGGTTCTTGCTACAAAGAAATGTTGAAATAGTAATGCTATAAACACAAATTGTAATGCTGTCCTAAAATTAAGGATCTGGTGATTGGGAAAGAAGGATCACATTTAATCTCATTTCAGTAAAAGCAAAATGTACATCCATGACCGTCAGCAATAATATAATTACTACATGCCATAAGTTCTCGGGAAGTATTGCACCTAGTGTACAAGGTTGGCAATTGGGATGTGTGCAAAATAAAGGCAAATGTGTAATCTGTGATGACCTCTCAAAGGGAGTAGTGCAACATGACAAAGGCATATAGTATGTAGGAGGCTTCAAGAGTGACTAAAACTACATTACGACTTTAAATTGTACACATCAATTAGGTAGGGTCCAAGCACTCCAGGGATGTTGTATGATTAGAGCACTCCTTCATTAAGTCATTTTGGCAAATGGCACCATAAATATCTGAAGTCTAGCACAAAAACTACATTTCATGACTGATTTAAGTCATGAAATGTAATAATTTAATAAAGTAATAAATAGTAAGGGCTCAGATAAATATAAGAACTATTCAAAGAAAACGTGTCTGAAGAACATATCTACAACAAAATCCAAAATATAAGCACATTTGAGTCACCAGATGAAATAACTAAAATGCAAACATTCTAATGTGACAAAAAATGCAAACATATGGAGAGAGTGCAACATCAAGCTTTTAAGTTAAACTGCTACATAATTGCTGAGTGTTAGACTGAACTCGAGTGTCAGTCTGGTCAGCTCAATGACTAAAGGCACCATTTAAACCACTATCCCTTTATCAGGATGGAAGAGGTACTTGTCTCTGATTACTTTTCTACATTAGATATAATAGTGTATTCTATACAATAAGCCTCATTCATATCCTGCAGAAAAGTCAGTTTTCAAGCACAAAGTCTCTCCATCTTGGTCCAGAAAGGCCGGCCATTCGTGATTGTCTCAACCTTTTTGCTGGTGGTGGTTGTGGTGATCCAGAAATGCGCCGGTGGCTCCTCCCTCTTTTTGGCTCCATATGCAGTCCCTGGAATGATCCAGGAGAGTGACTTTCAGAGTCTCTAAAGAGAGCTCTTTTGGAACTTCTGATGTATTTACTTTTCACAGCTTGATTTTTCCCTACTTTTTCACTTCTAAACAGTAATGCTGATGGTGACCCCTCATCCAGTGTGACAGTATGCGAAGCCTTTTCCTCCTTACAGGCCCCATCGTTAGAAGAAAGTTTTCTCAGAAAAACACGACATTCCTTCATTGTCTCTGGAGTTGAATGATTAGAGCAGGAAGGATCTTCGACAGGATCCATTGGTGGTTCACGAACAGAATAATGTTTTTCTGTTGATTTAAGCAAGCTTTTTTGTTCCAGATGTAATCTAGTGGCATGCCGATTTAAAGACAGCGTTTTATTTTTTAACCAAATCTCCCTCTCCTTTCTGGGTAAGAACCTTCTCTTTGCTCTGAACAGATTTGCCTTATATTTGCAAAATGATTTGTTCCTCTTGGTGGTAATGTAATTAAGCCTACCTGAAGTCAAAAAGGTCTTTGAAAACCAATATTTGAAATTAGGTTTTAAAAAAATGCTTCTTCTGATCATTTTCTGAGCCTGTGCAAAATCATTAGGTGTTTTTGGCACGCTTTTGGCAAATTTCTTGAGATGCTTGCGTAGACGCTCTGCCTGAGGACTATAGCACATTGTTTTTTTGTATGTACTGCGTGGGAAATGCATGACTTCATATGGGTTGCGTGAGCTTGCCTTCTTGACAATAGAGAGCGACTGCGTCTCTGTGGTCTGCATAAACCAGGAGCAGAGCTGCTGCATGCTGCAAGACCTGGGTTTGTTAGGACAACAGTCAAACATTGACCGTACCACAGAGGAGCACTTGGGCTTTTGACTGGACTGACTTCTGCTTTTATCATCATTTCTCACACTGTCTGAAACCCAGGTGTCGGAGATGAGGCGGATTCGCCTGGCAAGCTCCTGGTTTATGGTCTCCTGCTCCAGTGAGGTTGACCACCACTTCACTTCTTTTGGATGGTATATGGAGTCCACAGACACTGATGCCATTTCTTGTAACCCGAGGGAGCTAGTCTTTCCTTTCCGCTCCCCTCTTATTTTTTTGTCTCCTGATGGTTGTAGTTTATTCTGTGATTCATCTTTTTTGGTCTTCAGAAGGAGCTGTTTAGAGCGCCGCACCAGAGCACTGCTACGACTGTATGAGCTGGAGGTAGCAACTGCATGTAAAAAGTGAATAGATGGCTTCCTGATTCTCTCAGAGTGCCGAACAGCAACGGGTGGATTTGGTTCAGTTTCACCCTCTTCTTTCTGCTCTTCGTTGCTTTTGCTGATTGAATGACAAGCGATTGTCTTTGGCTCTTTGGCAAACAAAGGCTTTTGAAAGAGTGCTCTCTTATGGTTTTGTTTAACTGGAGACGTTTTATCTTTGTTGATCTGAATTTTGCGCTGTCGAGGTGATACTGTGGTTACTGTAACAGAAATTCCAGAAATTTTGACTTTAGCAGGTCGTCCTGGTTTTCGCGGGGCTGCAGCATCATCCGCTGATGGGCATTTTATGCTGCTTTTATGTTGTAAAGCGCAGTCCTTTACAGGTTTTATCAAGGGAATTTTTGGGGACAACTCAACTGCAGCTGTTTTTACATCTGTTGAATTAACTTCTGTGGTCTTCATTAACATTTTCCAATTATTATCAAGGCCTACAGCCTGACATGCATCACAAAATTCTGTTTGAAGTTTATCAAATCCCTCGGAAACCATCCTTTTATTTCTCCTTGAACGGCCATATAGAACTGTGATTTTTAAGTTTCTATTGACATTTTTATCTGTGTCAGATGTTGCATTTGCACTTCCATTTGCAATCTCCTTTTTTCTGGATTCTATAACCTCTTTGCGTGGACGGCCGATAGGTCTCTTCACTTTTTTCTCTAGCTGAGGTCCCAATTTTTTTGGACGGCCGCGACGTCGCTTTTGTGGAGTGTTTTCATAGATCCCTGAAGAATCATGGGAACATCTCTGAGAGTCATCCAATGCATTCCATTTAGTTTGAGTGCTTTCCCCTAACCGTCTTGACCCTGCTTTTGGTGAGCTATTTGACTTGGGAGAGCAAGACTTAGCTGGGAATGATTTTGGGGATGATTTTGGAGAAGTGAACGAGGATCTTGGTGACACAGGTGGTGGTTGAGCAGTAGAGGGAGAAGACTTTGTGGGCGAAGAGGTCACTGATGCAAGCTGTGTGTTTTGCGTTGAGATTTTTTCTGATGTTCCTGACCAAGAAGATTCTATACAAGGGTCAAAACACGCATCTGCTCGTGAGCCATTCACAGTAGCAGCAGATTTCAAGCTATACTTCATCCCTTCCTCATTTTTTACTGGAGAAACAAACATTAGCTTTATTGGACTAGTGTACTCAAGACATGGATCATCAGTACAGGTAGAAGGGATCGTCTCTGAGTCTAATTTTAGGTTCCTGCGGCATCTAGGAACATTTCTACTTTCCGTTACAGTGTCAGATTTGCTTTTAGTTGACCTATTTGTTTTGGAAATTGGAATGGCTGGACCTTGGCTGCCCTCTTTTGTACTTTGAAAGGCATTATTATCAGGATTTGGCATATTGTCAGGGCTTTGGGGGGAAGTAAAAACTTCATTGGTTTGACTTCTCTGATTAAAGATGGTGTCTGAAAAACAGGCAACAAAGTACATTTTGCGGGGCTCGGTCACATAGGAGGAAAACCGAGGGGGCGGAACAATGTTTCTCTGAGATTTCCTTGCTTTTCTTACATTTTTTGACTGGTTTAATGGACATTGCAAATTGTTTGCATATTTTATCCCATATTGTTTATCAGGTTTCCTTTTGGTTTTACCATTTGCCACTACCCAATTATCATCCTGAAGGGATGAGTGAGTTTCTTTGAACACATCCGACTCTTCTTTTATAGAAACCATATCTTCGTTCTGTGTTTTGTCATGCACTTGATTCACCACTCTTCCAGCATTGGATTTGTTTGCACCACTTTTTAACATGGGCTTTGTTTCTTTATCTTGTGACAAGTCTGTTCTTGCCAGTTCATGTTTTATGTTAAAAGTTTCCCCTTGGGGAGAGGCATCCTCAGTCGGCGTTGTCATAGTAGTGAGCATCTCTTGACGGCGTCTATACCGTGTGTTTGGGGACTGAGGCTGCTTGTTCTTATGATAGTTAATGATCTCACCAAGGTTGTATTTACTGGAACTGCCTGTGTGAAGGACTGTAGTGATTATTTCAGTCAAATGGGCATCTGCTTTTAAGTCTTCACAATGTACTTTCTGTTTTCCTGTCTCTGGCACACCAGATTCATCCATCTCTTTTGTCTTAATAGTTTTAAGTTTTTCACCAAAACAACCAACTACATCTTTCTGAAAACTACCTTCGTTTTTGTTTGTTTGGCTGCTTTGCATGGTTCTATGCTTCTTATCTTTTACAGAATAAGTTTTAAGGTTTGCACTCCCACGTATTTTTTGCACAGGCTCAGTTTCCTCGTGTTTAATTTGGTGGAGAAATCCCGTTTGGGTTTCATCAGTTTGCCTTTTCAGGTCTGGGGACGGAGGAGGGGAAGTCGGACTCTGCTTCTTCAGGGTACTAACGTCGGCTTCAGTTTCCACTTCAGTTAAAGAGGAGCACATTAGATGGCAGGGGCATGGAAGGGTGTTGTGTTGCTTACAGCAGACTGATAATGAACATAAACCCAAGACTGGTGGGGATGGAGAAGTGGATGCAAATGGGCACACTGAATTGATGACGTTGGTAGAAGAGAGGCTTTGGCAGGAGTGGCAGTGTACCCTCTTGGGTTGTATAATTGTGTAAGTCTCTCTTTTGCAAAGCTGCGCAGGGCAACTGTGAGAGTCAGAATCTGTTTCCTTTTTGCATTCTTGCAAAGCACAAAGATGCCCTCTACAGTTGGACTTGGACTCTTCTGTTTGATACGTAGTGCCACATTGGTCAGTTGGCCAGTGCTGACAGCAGCTACATGTTGTGCAGTCACTCCTTGTGCTATGATAATGACAGCAGTAGCACTCTGTCTGGACTGGTTTGAGAGTTTTTAATAGTTTGTGTTGTTGTGCTACCTTTAGAACTTGAATTAGCATCAACTGATGAGCTGGACAAAGAGCGCTTAAAACAACACCTAAAGCAGAGGTCTTGGTCCCTTGGCATTTCAATTCTTCAGTTTCCTGTGTAGTGGTCGACAGGCAGCAGCTGAAAAGACAGATATGTGTTATAAAAGCATTTGAAGACAACAGAATAAGTCACACATAAAAAATATATTAGAAAAAAAGTCACACACAACAACGTTGATATTAAGTCTTGTTTATTGAGAAGTTGAAGGCAATGACAAGAATCTGCTCAGAGCAGAAAGAACGATTGTAGAAACGCTCATCATGAGAAATTTTCTTTTAAAACGTTACTTCTCATGTCACACCACCAAAAAAAATCTTCCAATGTATAATGTTATTGTCATCAAAATAATAAATTACACAACTTTAGATAAAACAAGGGATGCAACAAACCTAGCACCAGTGTCAGGGCCATATTCTCACAGCTGGTGTTATTGAGCAGTGAGGAATGGGTCATGCTGTGTGCACACATCTGCATATTATCAAATTCCAATTTTAGACATAAAATAAATCATCTAAATCAGATGTAACGGATCTAAACGTGCCACAATTCACATACAATAGTTGTTTACATAATTAGTATGCAATTCAATAATTTTACCACAATCTCTGTAACAATGTCTGGCATCCCTAGATAAAATAACCTAAGTTTGTTCTAGAATGTTGCAAGACATTTTATATGGTAACGACTGTTAAATGTGCAACAGCTGTAATGTCAAGGTTGTGGTGTAATTCTTTTTTTAAATTAAGTCAAACACAAATCACAATATCAAAGGGGTATTTAGAAATAAATCACAACATTTATAACCATTCATGCAGAAGCAATACACATTTCACATTGGATCAAAGTGCCTCATTACAAATTAGAATCTATGTTCAAATAAAGACTAAAATAAATAAATACAAATAAATAGGTATCAACCACATAAACTGATTTAACAACAATTGTGCAAAAACAGGTGTATGCATTAACATTTGTTAATGGTCAATCTGAGCATTTAAAAACAAGCTAAGCTAGCGTAATAAATTCAAGGAATTTCAGCACTCATATTTAACCTTAACAAAAATAGTTCCCAGAGTATTGGCATCATGCTGCCTTGTCATTTCAAGCATTGTGTACCATTGAGACATTCAGTAAGTAGAGAAATGAAAAAGCAAGCGATATACAATCAGCCTGAAATTACAGAAACACATTAAATTCACTTGACATTTAGACAGCATTACATTTACACTTAGGCGTTGTTCCTTGAGAGAAAGCCTGTGTTTCCAAGCTGAATATTACCCCAGCACACAGTTAAACGTTTATGTGAAACCTGATGCTGGGCAACAGGCAGAGTTCTGAGGTATATGCGGCAACAAGGTTTGAGAGTGAGCAACAGACAGGCCTACATCACAGCAAGCAACTGAAGCAGCTTTTGGTACATACCCAGGGACTGCTGATATAGGAACTAGCACTGTTGGCTTAGCCCATCTCAGACAGACAAGACATCAACACAGACACAGAAACCTGGGGTGACAATTCTGAAGATGGCTCGCAATACATCTGACTTTCTTAGGAACCTCAACCTGGTATGTACAAAAACCAGTCTGGCTTTGTGATCCAATCTGGCTTTGTGAACTTTGTGTCAGACAAATTGATAACCTACATATCATTACCATAGCAATGTCTACAGCCTTCAAACTGAATTAAATAAGCATCTTTGTTTTTGCTATACATCTTTGTGCCTGGGATATGGTCCCAAAAGGCAAGTTTTAAAGCAGCAGTCTTGTATGAGGTTTGCAGTAATACAGCTACAGTAGCAGAATCGTTACATTTGTGATCAATCATAAAATAATAATACACAATCACAATACAATACATACACGTCCCAAGCTCATCAGTACAGAAATAAAAACATGCCAATGTTAGCATTCCAATTACACTAAAATTGTAAGTTTCCAAAAGAGAATATCAGTCAAGAACTGTATCATTAATGACGATTCCCAATGCAGTATACATAACATTGTACAATCACTGTTTGCAGAGGGGTCCGTAGTGCGCAATTGTGGATTTGAATCCATTATAATGGCTCTAAGTCACTTGAGGAGAATCCGTAAAATACCCAGAGATTAGTAAATGACAATCATCAACAACTCCAACAGTGGAGTTTAAAGAAGTGACAAACCTGAATAACCTGATAATCTATCTTGAGATTAATGACAGTGACACTCACCAAAAGAATACATACACATTTTTACACTGCAATGTTCTATGAAGCTGGACTTGATGTTATCAGTGTTGAAACACAAACCACATCATTACAAACAAACAATTAAAAGACCTGAATATTAATATGAATATACTCTGTAAAGGCATGTTTTGAGTTAAAAATCTCCCAAAATGTCCTACAATATCTTGAAAGAGGTGAGAAGTTCAAGTGTAGAAGAGCCTTTAAAAGAGGCATTGTGTAGAACATGACTTTAAAACCTGTTTGTTGGAGCAGCTGAGGTGAGGATCCCTGAGTTAGCTGAACAGTTAGAACCAGAGGTGTTTGTAGTAGATGGGCTGGGGATGGCATTTTTTTTCTTGGGTGGATTTTTTAGTGTGCCAGTGCGCTCTTTGATTTTGTATTCCAGTGTGCTGTGTGGAACACCATAGACCCCCTGAGCCTTGGACACACTCATGCGACCTGCCATCACCATAGTGATGGCCTCCTCCATCAACTCATGATCGTATTGACGATATCTTCCACGCTTCTTCCTGGGTTGCTTATCTTTTTCACGTCGATCTGCTCCCTCTTCCATATAGTCTACTAAGGATGTTCGAGCAACCAGACGATGAGGCGATGGGCTAGAGCTGCTTGCCAAGGCAGGAGGCCTGAGTTTGAAAAGAGGTCTGGCTGCAGAGGACAACACACTGACAGTGCCCTCTATTAATGAGGTACGACGAAGGCTTTCAACTGCACTGCCATTTTCATTAGGGAGTGTCATGCTCTGGTCGGATACGGAGCGGACCTGAGGAATACGCAGTGGTACAGGTGGCTCAAGGCTGGAGGTGGGGCTGGATGGAGCCTGCAGTGCATCCCTGAGCTGGGGAAAGGACTGGGGCATGGTTTTGTTTGGCTGGAAAAAGGTCAGAGAGGGCAAAGGAAAACTTAAGTCCCCATTCTCCTCAGCGGCACCTCCGATCTCTGCTCGCTCTGCCCATGCTGCCACCTTCTGCAACACCAGTCGGGCCTCACCCCCCAGCATAGATGACATCACACAATAGGACGACACTTCTTCTCTGACATCTCGGTTTCCATGCAAAAGATGCTCTTGTAGCCCTTTCTCAGAGAGGCTCTCCTGGCCTTGCTTTAGAACTTGAAGAGGTATTCCATACAGCAGTGCAGCGCGCTGCTCCTGAAGCCTCCCTGAGCGAATGTCTTTAAGGGCCTTGGACAACAATCCTTCAGACAGCTCCAGGCTCCTCTCAATGCACTCCTTCTGCCTTTGCTGCCTCCTAGAGATGGGATGACCAAACATCAGGATCAGGATGGAAGTGATGGAGGGGATTGTTTTAGGCATGAGGAAGGGGTTGCAGGGCGAGGGGTCCACTCCTTTATTCCTTGTGTTGGTAACATCACTGCGGCTGTTTATGTGTCATGTTTGACTCATTGTGGAGGGCCCTCACACTGTGGCATGTCTCATGCACACATGTATTTGTGGAAAGCCTCTTCACGTCCAGGTGGGACAGTCTGTGAATGGCTGAGGCTACTGCATCATTTGCACATAACTTCGCGAGTGTCCTATATGCATGAAGGTTGGAATACCAAAATTTGAAGTCGATTAGTACAAAATCAGATAAATTGTTGTATTGCTTGTAGCTTATTGCAAGTCATCTTACTCCTGAGTGATACAATGGCAATGTTGTGACGTTACCATACAAGACGTATAAGAGTCAACCCCAAAATGATATTGGGGAAATAGACAATAGATATTACAGCCACAAAACCTGAGCAGCATTGAATAGTACCAAAAAGGCAATGTAGAAAAGCATGTGAATAATTAAAACGGGCGACATTGTATTGCTCAAACTTTTTTTGTTGTCAATTTAGGTATGTTCATTTATGCTACAGGCCGGAACAACAATGGTTGATATCTATTCCCTTTACATTTTAACATAAATTAATTAAATGTATAATTCTTATAGGTCAACATTGAGGTTTAAGACATACCCTGAGCCTTTGTGATTAGCGGCAGAGACAGAAGGTTTTGATGGGGGTAAATTGGCAGACGTTCCCTTGGAGAGGTCGAGCACACCATCTGTTACAGGGAATGAAACCAGTTTATGTTTATGATGCAAACAACATAAGAATTCACTGTTTTGAATACCTGGTTGTGGTTCCTTTTCCTCCTGGGCACGGCTCACTGTGAGGTCAAGAGGAGCATCCGTTGTTTCAGCTGCTTCTGACTGAGGTGAAGAGGTTTTTGTCTGAACACCATTCGAGGTGGTATGGAGCGGGCACTTGGAAGCATACTCCATGGCAAACTGACGAATCATCTTTTTCATAAGCTCTTGGGCAATAAGCGGGATGTTTGGATCACAGTCAATAGGCACATCTAGTAGATAAGAATAGCACAGATACAAGTGTATTTAGTGCAAAATGAGATGGGACAAAACAGGCATTGAGGTATACTTTGATATTAAGATGCCATGATATCATTACCGCCAGACATTGGCAGTGCCAAGGAGGGGCATGAGAGTGCTCAAGCTCCCTGAGAAAAACTATTCAAAATATTCTTGTATCTTGTCACAAAGGAAAACCAACAATGAGTTCCACTAAATTAATCATACATTCATGTGTGTGTAGAGTTTTGAACAAGAAAGCTGACAACGCATGCAGTCTTTGGTGTTCCTCTGTACTCTGTACAGTGAGTGTACAGACTCTACACAGCGGCTGCTTGCTTCATTTGTGGAATATATGGGGTGAGTCAACGTATGAAGCGCACTGAGGTGAAACTGTTTAGAGGCTGCAGTGCAGTATTTCACACCAGTGCCATGTTAATATGTTAAGAACATTTACAATGCACTGGAACAGTAGAGCCTGTGGTCTACGAATGCTCTACTACTCCATGCAGCTCACAGGCTCTAGCCAAGGCTCTTATTCTCCCCGCCTTTTTCACACGGGCACAAGAAAGAAGCTGGTCAAATCACGTCTGCAAACATGAGTGCTGCTCCACGCATTGTGACAATACATCCTCAAAAGAAAGAGTGGAAAGCCCCCATGAGCACGTGGATGGTCAAAGTAGAAAGTAGTAAACAAATAATAAACACTGAGAAAAACTACACATGAAGGTTGTACTTTTTACAGTAAAAGTTGAAATCGATTATTTACGCCTTCATTCAATTATTTTATCAAAATAAATGTATTTATTTCTTGCCAAATGTGAATAAAGACAACATGGTCCTTGATCATAAATCACATGTGAAACAAATCCAACCAAATGTGATATTTGGAATTGTAACACTACGACATAAATCCATTGCTCAATTGTTGTTGTAAAAGTAGATTTATAAATTGTGGGAACCCCTGCTTTAGGCAGTGTGTGGAAGAAAAGACCTGCATTTACCGGTGTGTGCACACGTTGTCAGGGACATTGGTTCGAATGTCAGCGGATGTTTTCTTACGGATGTTATAGTGCGATGTTGGGTGAATAAATTGCGGAATGTGTGAAGCACTAATTCTGGTGCACACTTGACACGTATCAGTAACGTGTGATAATAAGTTACTCAACAACTTGGACTAACTTCAACCAGATTATAGCAACAGACCTCAAGACTAACTTTGCGGGAAGAAAGTTATATAACCTCATGCATTACATAATTAAGGAAACAGTAGGCGAAACAAAAAAAATCTGGTCGAGTGCATTGAGTTTTCACCAAAGATGGCTGTACCAGCTTGACCTCTGGCAGTGGAGGTGGGCTACTTTAAACCTGTTCTGGTAGTCCTAAACAATATCTGGAGATGTGGCTGTGCTACAGCCACCACTGCTCCTGAAGAGGCCTGAGAGGGATTGCAAGATGGGTCAAATGCAGAGGAAAATTTCCCTAAGGGGCAATAAAGCATAACTTAACATAAGGTGTGGGGAATGAACCCTGTGTGATCTCGGGATGGTAGAGGATGATACTATAAAGGATAATACTTCAACTACTTAAATCCAGATGCCCTTTGGTGGGCAGAAGGTGTTTTTGCTTCTTTTGTTTTTTTGGGTCACAAGTGTCATACACGTCTATGCAGGCAGGGCATGTGTGTGCATGTCACAGGTGACTGACCCGCAGTTAGCACTGCAACCATGGAAGGAAAAGAGGGTGCAACTGTACAAGCGATCTTTCGCCTTGGATTATAGATAGATAGATATGTTATTGATCTTCGTAGGAAAAATTCAGGTGTCCAGTAGCAGCAAAAATAAAAAATAAAATTGATCATTCTAAAAAGATAATAGTAATAATCAGCAACAGCCGTTCAGGTCACAGCAGCAGAGAGGGAGTAGCCTCTGGGTGGAGCAGGATGGGTCAGAGCAGCAGAGGTGGAGTAGGTATTACGGTATGCAATATTGAAATGTTGAGATATTATGGGAATTAGATAGCTATACAAGTGATTTGGCCTTCTGTAAGTCACAACAACCCGATTGTGTATCCATGTTATGACTCTGATATGTTCTCATTGTCTCTGGATGCGACATGTGTCTTTCGATGTGTGACATATCTGTGATGTAACAATGACTATATAAACCATGTCCTGACTTTGTTCTGTCTGAAAAAACTGAAACAACTGAAACCTGAAGGAAACCCAATAAACTTCCAGGAGCTCTGATGCGCCACAATCCGTCTCTGTGTGCTTGATTTTCCACAATATCCATGGATGAATGGATTTCTACACTATAGCCCACAAAGGATCTTTATTGCTTACTGGATCAATTATCAAGATTCTTTCCCTTCATGTGCCTCTAGATCTGTTCATTGTGGGCCTTTTTTTTGTTAAGCATGATAAACCATTCATTTTCATGGAAACGAGCAGAAGCTCGCCATCTATAACAAGCACAAGTGAAGTGTAAAGATATGCAAACAAGCTGTAAAGACACATTTTATACAAATTTCAGGGGAATAAAAACATATACTATAAAAAAAATATACTATAAAAAAAAAAACATAAAACTATAAAACATGCATTTGTTTTAATCCACTTTTTGTGTGAACTAAAAACGTTCTGGAGGTTTCATCCAATTAATAATCGTGACATCAGTAGTTACCCCCCCCCAATACTAACAAAAACAAGTGTGTCACAAAAAAAAACAAAAATAGGTCTATTCTTTGTACAATTCTCAATTGTTTGAAAATCTCAAAATCTAGCACCTCTAATTGTTTTGTGAAAAAATTACCTTTCTTGCTAAACACAGCTTGTAGGAACCTGTGCGCTGATTGGCTGCTCTCAGAGAGAGCAGGGACATGGTGTGGAGAGTAGTCAGATGGGGACGAGAGGGGAGACGTGGAGGACAGTACATGATCCTAAGAAAAACGTTTAGTTATATCTTAATGAATGTCAACAAATTAGTTTGTCAAAAAGTAATATAGTCTCACATTGAGTTTCTCCAGGGGAAGATTGCAGAAAGAACAGTGCAAACCATTTTCTTCAGGAGACCAGTCAATAACTTCTTCAGGTTCAAAGTCTAAAAAGTGCATGAAGATAATCAGTATATAATACAATAACTGTAAATCATTACAGAAATATTAAAATTAAGCACGATTTAAACTTTACCCACCATCAAATAAGCTAAGGTCTCTCAGCAGTAATGGTCCATAGATGCCCTCAAGAATGCTTTCAAACCCTGCAAAAGACAAATTAGATATGTTGTCAAACACTGCGACAAGATTATGTTTTTTAGCAATTTGATAAAGAAGACAATTTATCTGAGATAATCAACTGTGAGCAGAAGCTTGTCAAAACCTAAAAGTGGACATAATACACGAGTGTGAACAGTCCCCGATCCTCCTCAGACCTTTAGATAATGATGTGTTAGCATGTCAGCAGCACAGGAGCGCATATGTTCATAAACATATTGCTTATGAGCAGTTTGCAGTAATTGTAGGTAATGTTTTCAGTGCAAATCAATTGTAACAACTACACTGGATGTTTGTGCATGCTTTTCGTAATGTGTCATTACATCTATTGTTTGAGAGGTAGACTCTGCTCTCTGGCTAGCATACCGGGCAGAGGGACAAAGACGTGAGCCATCTCTGAAATGCTAGCCGCTGCCAGCTGGTAGACATTAGGCCGGTGTTATTACCATTGAAGCGGGTTATCTACAAACAGGCTATGCTAGCAGATATCTATAAACTAGCCACTAAGCAGATAGAATGCTCATTTTAAAATATCCAAACATGAATTACACAAACATACCAATGCAGTGTATTAATTTGTGTTTCCATGAATCCAGCTCCCGTCTGAATCCTTTCCTTTCGGCCGTGCACTTGGAGCAAGGCACGGTCGCCATTCTGCGTCCTTCCCCCCTCTCGCTCCCTCTGAGCTCGTACAGCGCTGCCCAAGCCACGCACTCTTCTGCCGCTAGTGGGCGCAACAACCACATGTGTGACGTTATTCTCATACAATATGATCAATAATTTCTCATTTTTCTAGGGTAGCACTTTACTCTTGACATTGTCTTTTATGCGTACTTTAAGAGACACTGTAAATGAGTAGTCATGAATTGTTAAGTAATTATACAGAGTGCGAGTGCGTGTAATACACAAATGTCTCCACATGGGGTCAGCATTGCATTTCAGTCAAGCAAGTCTAACATATATACACGTGTAGTTATGTATATATATATATATATATATATATATATATATATATATATATATATATATATATATATGTATGTCATTTGTTATATGCTATATGTTCGCTGTATTTCAGCTTCATGCCTTCCCTCAAAATTATACTGGTTTTACCGCAAAAGGTGTTATAATGCCCAGCCCTACTTCCAGGCCTCCCTTTTGGAAGAAGACACAGTGCAATAAATCACCGATCATCAGTGAGCTGATCAATATCAGTTCTGCAGTATCAGGACTCCATTTTCTTTGAAAAGGATTTTCCTGTTTGGAGTGATCTGAACTGCTGGGGTTGATCTGACACACGCAGGCTGCTTTACATGATCCCAGTGAGAACTTTCAGAGGGCGTTGGAGTGGAGCTGAGCGAGGCGTGCATGGGGATGTGGAACCTCGGTCATTCACTACAAAGCCACTGCTCTGAGAGTCCGAAGGGAACAGAGACCACAAGAACTAAAATGCATGAGAACAAAAAGGCCAAACGACACTTTCCGATGAAAACATACAGTACTGGATGCAGTCAACTGAAATGGACAATGTGAAAAAATGCTACAAATGGACGGTTTTTGTTTATGTTCATGTTTTCATGTCTACGGCGTTTGTTCACATTTGAACTTTGAAATGTCATATTTTTAAAGATTACACACTTTTACGGACACAAGCTCAACATGAAAAAAGCCTTCAGACGTTCCAGTTTGAATCCGAGGCTATGCTTAACAATCGGGCCTATCACTACTTCAACCAATGACCCCAAAAAGGTGGAGACGAGTTCAAGTGACTGACTTGTTTTGAAGGGAGTATCTCACAGTACTTGTTCACCAAAGATGGGCTGGGTTCAGAGGTTTTATTGCTGTTTTGGACATATCTAGTTGGTAAGTGTATTCTGGGCAAAACATCAACAATGATGAGCTTGGGCTTGTTTGTATAGAGAGGGTAAAAACCAAAACCAGGGACCTTGTCTAACTAAGTGTATCTGCTACTAGAGTACTGGTGCTATGTAAGTTTAAGTTTTAAGTTTTTTTTTTCATTATTCTAATGTGTATGCCAGTTGTACCAACTGTTTTGAGTTCAACTTCATTTTTGTCACTAGTGTTCTCTAGGCTGTTTTAGGTGGAAAATATTTTGGCGATTTAGCCACACCATTGTGTCAAAATAAATTACTAAGAACAACATTTCTCGGCCAGTGTGATTCCTTCATGTGTTGGTACATTTTCAACCTTTCCACCAGGAGTTTGCATGTTCTCCCTCTGCCTGAGTAGGTTTCCTCCGGGTGCTCCGGTTTCTCCTATGACTCAAAACATGTTCAATAGGTATGAATGTAATGAGTGAGTGAATGGATGTGTTGGTTGGGGCTTTGATGTGCCAGTGTTTTTGGCGTCTCGCTTCCGTCATCACCATGCGAGAATGGAAAATATCTGAACTCTGAACATTGTAAAGCGCTTTGGGCGACCTTGGTCTGTAAAATAAATATAAACATTACTTACTTACCTTGTAAAGCCATTGTCCATCCTGGGCAGAGGAGCATACATAACATTCAGTGCCTTTGGGAGACACAATTTGATGTGACTCACCACCTCATGGAGTGATAATGATTCAAATGTATTATCTTGCATTTGCTTAATGGAATTTTGGTACCGTAAAGACTATTTGGGTATACTTTTTTGTTTGTAGTCAGTAATCAGGGTGGGCATTTTCTTGCCATGTGAACTACTGTATAGGTATTCTGATAAGCCAGACACTCAATCAAGGGAATTTTGGTACACAGGAGAATTTACCTTAAAACCCAAGGTTAGGCTTTAGGAAGTTGAAGAGTTAAACCCATGAGTGTGTCCTTAAACTGTTGTCTCTGGGCTCATCTGGGATCAAGGGAAATTTCCAGGACAGGGTCATGTCCAGTGTGACACTGCCTAGAAACTCTCCCTCAGCAACAGAATTGCCATAGAAATCACATGTGTGCATGTTTGTATGGTCCTGAGGCTCACTCAGACCTTTTGTTTGTGTCAGCCCAACACGTCTTTCTGAGGGAAACTCTTTGGTTGACAGGCCACAGACACAGAGGTCAGTTTGGTGGTAAATAAATAAGATGAGCTATGAACAAATGTTCCACAAATACTGTAACTATATACAGGCACCCATCTCCTATTCTTAAATAAGCCTATTCCCTTCCATTTGCTGAATCAGTCAAATCTGGAAAAATAAGCACCAGCGACAGAAAGCCCATATCAGTCGGCCTCCAAGTGCTTTTGTGCTATTGCCATTTAAGAGAATTTAAGAGAGTAGCCGTAAATTCTCTGGAAGTAACAGCAGAATATCTCATGATCTCCTTAAATTCTCCGTCACATTTCCTGGACACTTCTGGAGTGCTGTCTCACTCTTTCCCTCCCCGTCAGTCAACCTGTCAGAGTGGCCGTCCATCTGTCCGTACGTCCAGTGGTCTGACAGGCCCCATCCGCTCCAGTCTCAGTGTCCACCACTACTGTCACTTTGATGTTACCATGCAGATTCGGAGGACAGGAAAGGGGAGAGAAAAGTCACAGTCACAGGCAAAGAATAAGATAAAATGCATTTACTTTTGAAGAACATTTATTTGTGTAACACATGTCAAACAAACATATGCACGTCATTGTCAATGACATTGGAGAAGGACTGTGCGATGCATCAGTTTTATTTTTTATTTTTCAGGGCTGGAATTTGAAAAAGACCGCAATTGTTTGGAATGTTTATTTTCTTTAAAAAAAAGCAAATGATCTTGTGGTATATTAGGAAAATCATGTTATCCCTAGAGCTCTGCAACAGAATGAGAAATACAGGGATCACTGCAAATGGTAGGTTGTATTATAAACTTATAATAATAATAATATATAACTTCATTTTTAAAATTGTGTAGTCTTCCAAGCATTTACATTAAAAGTTAACTGGAAGGACAGAGTGAGTTTTGAAGTTAATCTTAAACGGGCTCAACATTAAGTAAGAAAGTAAGTAATCTTATGCCTTTCACAAAGCGCCCACACAGAGAGCGGGGACGCCGAACAGGAGGCTCGTGCCAGACATATTGTACATGTTTTTAGTGGTACAAGAAACCGATGCACCCGGAGGAAACCTACGCAGACACGGGGAGAACATGCAAACTCCACTCAGAAAGGTCCTCGAACAAAGGACCTTCTTGCTGCGAAGCGAAATTGCTATCCACTCAGCCAGCATGCCGCCCCATAGAGATGTTGGAGAATACTTGTATATCTCCATTTACTGGGAGCAAAATAAGAGAAAGCTGATTCTCCTATTTTCTCAGAAACAGCTAGAACTCACCTTGGCAAGCAAATTGCATCAATGCCTACTAACTGCACGTCTCTTGCCGAACTTAACTACCTGAGTTCAAACTTGCTTTTCAGACAATTTTCCACATTTGATAATCACACTTGGCTCTCCAGATCTACTCCCAATATCATGTGGATTTACAGGCCCATTGTGAGTTTAAACGGATGATGTCACAACTCTCCTCCGTCATTTTTTCTTCTGTCTGTGGTGTGAGGATGTCTTAATCATTAACTGTTAAAAGTGTGAAACTGGGCTTTTCTCCTTTCCTTCCCTGCTGTGCCTCTCTGTTGGCCCTAAAAAGAAGGCATTTTTGCCAGGTCTATATCCCACGTTCAAGAGTGAAGGCTTCATTAGAGTGGCAGAGAGACTGGGCATAGGACTTTTTGGCATGTGGCTTGTATTAGGCGGCTGTCGAGCCTAATAAACCTTGTTGGAGACACCAGTGGGTGAACGAAGAAACAGGGAAATGGGGGATTGTAATATATTTAGAACAAAGAAACACAATTGTGTTTCCACAACAGTCTAATGTTACAAACATTCAAGATTTTTATGTGTGGAAACTGATAATATTCCATATTTTATGACTTGGTCCTGAAATAAATACATCTGTTTAAAAGCAGTGAGTTGTATATCACTAGTGACGCCCTTTGGTCTGACTTTAACACGTATAGTGATTGGCATTCATGACAGTTAAAGGAGAGGTCTCTATGTGGGGAACCTGAAGTAGCATGTGACTTTCATTTGGGAGGGTCAAAAGCCACACTGCCTTTTCATTTTTATTTTTTACTTAAAGTGATAGTCTGTAACTCTAAATGAATTACAAATTTTAGGAAATGTGTTAAATTGACCTCCTGGCCTTAAATGTTGATATAAAATGAGTCATTTTATTAATTCTAATATTACAGGTATGTAACTTCCCTTCTCTTAGCTATAGTTCAGAATCCACGGTGCCGTCGAGGTTAACCAATCGAGTCATGCCAAGGGCTGTCAATCATCGGCGCTGATGCTCGCAGCTGCTCATGCTCAGTTGTTTGTTTTCACGGAGCCTCTGAATCAAGCCTCTATTAGGCTCTGGAACTTCATGAAAACTGAACAAAGAATTCTGAACATCCGCGCTGAGGTACTTATGTATATACTGAACCTATAAGATAAGATAAGATTGCTTTATTTATCTCACAGAGGAAAAATTTACATGTCACAATTGGCATGGATAGAGACACTCAGATTGTGCAAAGGGAGGAAATGTGCAAACATGTTACATGCAGGATATATCCATATATATCCATAATCAGATCCTCTGCAGATGTGTCCTATAATGTGCAGTTCATGATAATAGCTTGTTCCGGGTTTGCCGCGATCGCTTTTTTTGTGCATAAAAACATATTTTTTTTAATTAAAACGTTAACAAATAATTCTGATAACCTCCGTGCATGTGTATTA